AAAAAAAAAAAAAAAAAAAAAAAAAAAAAAGAACAGAACTTGGAAACCTGAGTTGAAACTTTGGCTGAACCACTGCGTGACCTTGGACAAGTGGATTCATCTCTCTGTGCCCAAATTTCTTCAAATAGCGATAATTAAAGCACCTTCTAGCTGGATGTGGTGGTGCACACCTATGGTCTCAGCACTGGGGACGCTAAGCCAGGAGAATCACCTTGAGGTTGAGGCCGGCCTGAACTACAGAGCAAGACCTTGGCTCAAAACACGAGACAAAGGCCAGGGATTTAGCTCGGTGACACCGTGCCTGCCTCGCAAGCACAAGGTCCCAAGTTCAATCCCCGGTACCAAAACAAAACCCTAAGCAACTATCTTATGGGAATCTGATACGAAGATTAAAGGCATCACTGCATGTTAAGTGCATAGCCCAGGCTCTGGTTTAGTAAGCATTTGATATATGTTTCTGTGGTTCTAACTAAATCAGCAGAACCCTTGATGAGCCCTCCTTTCTGTGCCTCAGTTTCCCTTTTGGCTGGGACATCCACACATTCTCTCCGACCTCTGCAGAGTGGGGACCCCCGGACACGGCACGGACGAGGGCACCTACCTTCTTGTCCTTCTCCTTGGCTTTGTCCAGGGCTTCCTGGGCACGGCTCTGGGCCTGGCGTGCCCTTTCCGCCTCAGTTCGGAGCCCCCGCAGCTGCTGCTCAGCCGTGGCCAGCTGGGCCTCAGCCGCATGCCGTTCACTCTTCATGAACAGAGCCTCCCGCTGCACCTGAGGCCCAAGTCCACACGGGATGATCAGGACACGTGGCCCCCCAAGATGCTTGGACCCAGAGTCCTTTTGATCCTTGTCCTGAGGACATTCCAGCCCAGGTCCATCAGGGTTCTGGGTTCGCTTTGTTTCTACAAACATTCTGACTGTGCCATGCAACTTTGACCTATGAGCTGTGTGTCCTTGGGCAAATGAATTAACCTCTCTGGGCCACATTTTCTCTGTATTAAAATGGGGATAATATAAATATGTGGATACCACGAAGAAATAGATGAAATATGATTATGTTGATGCCAGACACTGGGTTAGTGCTATGTTTGATTCATTGATATCATTATTATTTATGATCACCCATGTTATTTTTTTTTTCATACTGGGGATCGAACTCGGGACCTTGTGCTTGCAAGGCAGGCAACGGCACCACTGAGCTAAATCCCATCTCATCCATGTTATTTTCTCTGCCAGTGCTTTCAAAGTTTTTACTTTGGGGGGGTATTATAGAGAGCTAAATTAGGCAAAAATATTATGGGCTGGGCCTTCGACGGAGTCAGTGCAGATCATCTAAAGATCACTGAAGCCACAATGGCCAGATGGACATACTTCCCTCAGGGGTAGAGGGAAGCCCGAGATGATCATTCCACCCTTTTGCGATGTCCCTGAATAAATAAACTCTTATCTCCTGAGGGGTGGGCCATCCTCTCCTACGGAGACCAAAGACCAAGCCAAGACTGTAGATTTTCCAAGGTTAGCGTTGTCATCCATATACCCTGGCTCCTACTACTGCTGGGTCACTGTTATCTGAGAGGCTATCCTTGTAATCCTATTGATTACGCTTTTCACCCGCCTTGCATCCACCTCGTGATTTCGCCCTATGAAACTTTCTCCGCCAGGGTTGTGGGGAGAAAGGAACCCTTCTCCATTGTTGGTGGGAGTGCAGGCTGGTGCAACCACTGTGGAAATCAATATGGAGATACCTCAAAGAGCTGGGACTAGAGGTTCCATTTGACCCAGCCATCCCTCTGCTGGGTATCTTTCCAAAAGAATTCAAGGAATCAAACCACAGTGATATATGCGCACCCATGTTTATAGCGGCACAGTTTGTAATAGCTAAAACTTGGAAACAGCCCATTTGCCCATCAGTTGGACACTGGCTAAAGAAGATGTGGTTTTTCTATAAAATGGAATACTACTCAGCCATAAAGAATGAGAAAGTAGATTCATTCATAGGAAAATGGATACATATTGAGGATATACTCCTAACTGAAATAAAAAAGTCACACATGTGTAAATACCGAATAGTTTCTCTGGTGTGAAACACTATAATGGTACATGAGATCCTAATGAGATAATGGACCATGTGAAATAGGAAGAAAAGGGCTAAAGGTGTAGGGAAAGTGGGAAGGGTGGGGGAAAGGGAATAAGGAAAAAGAAAAAAATATGAGAAATGAAAAAATGGAAATACAGTGTTTGTAAAGAGGGAGGGAGGAGGGGTGAAGGGAGGGCAGGGACAAGGGAAAAAAATGAGAACCAAGACCTGTCACGTAAAGGAACAAGATCCCAATAATGAATGTAACTGTACTGTATCCCTAAAGTGTACCAATAAACTCAATGAGGAGAAAAAAAAACTTTCTCTGAGAAGTGGGCCCATTGGCAACCCATTTGGGACCTCCCTACCCATAGCCATCTCTCAAAAGCTATTCCTATTCCCCAGGAAATTTTCCTATTTTTATTTCTGGGTACCAGGATGGAACTCAGGGCCTCAAGCTTGCAAGTCAGGCACGGTGCCACTGAGCTAAATCCCCAGCCCAGAGGATGTTTTATTTATTTTTTGCCTTTTTGAGGCAGGGTCTCAGTGTGTAGTCCAGGCTGGCCTGGAACTCATGATGATCCTCCTGCCTCAGCCTCCAGGGTGCTGAGATTTCAGGCATGTGCCACCACACCCCTCATTCTTTTTTTTTTGTTTGTTTTTCTGGATCAAACTCAGGACCTTGCACTTGCCAGGCAAGTGTGGTGCCACTGAGCTTCATCCCTGGCCCCTTCCTATTCTTAACACCCATTGATCCTTAGAATTCATTCTTTTACTTTGGGGCAGGTGAACTTGGTGAATCTGACATGTAGCAGGTTGGGAGTTACACATATTCCCCCCATATCATTGGGAGTTGAACTCAGGGCCTTTGCACGGAGCTACATCACCACCCTTTTTAATTTATTTTAATTTAATTTATTTATTTTGGTACCAGGGATCGAACTCAGGCCCTTGATCTTTCGAGGCAAATGGCAGAACTACTGAGCCAAATCCCCAGCCTTACCCTTTTTCATTTTGAATTTTGAAACAAGTTCTTACCAGGTTACTAAATTTTTCAGGCTGGGCTTGAACTCATGATCTACCTGCCTCAGTCTCCTAAGTAACTGGAAATAGCTAGATGGAACAAAACATAGGGTCAAAATGACCACTAAAGTGCCTGTAATCCCAGCACTCAGGAGGCTGAGGCAGGAGGATCCCTGTGAGTTCGAGACCAGCCTGGGCTACATAGTGAGTTCCAGGTCAGTCTCAACTACATAGTGAGACCCTGTCTGAAAGAAACCAAAAACAACAACAATAACAAAAACGACCACTAAGAAAGTGGATATTAGGTAAATACA